AAATGATATTTAACTCATCACAAGATACCAAATGCACCATTAGTATTTCATCTTTGGACAATAATACTAATTGCTAGCGATACTCTTGTTGTAATAATAAAATATAACAATAATACATATAAAAGAAAAATCCACCTTTGAGTTGACTTTTTTTCTTTTAAAGTGTAACCTTATAATTGTTATATATTTATTATTACCGAAATGTATATATAAATAACTTTATAAAATATTAATCTTCCTTTGGGCTGATTAATATTTACTTTAACTATATATACCATGTTTAATATTTTATATGAGCAACTTACACAATAGGATCACTTTGGTGACATATTGTTTCAATATACTCATTTTAAAAAAACTCATTTAAAACTACTTTTATTTTACAATTTCCCTTCAAAATTTTTTACCACGCTTCTACTTTAAATAAAATATGTGCGGTAATTAACATCTTATGGATTTGAACATGAACAACATCAATTTAATCACAAAGTTTGATAATAAAAATAGCATGAAATTAATCAAACTTATAAACAAATTGCTAGTCGGTTCAAAAAGAAAATTCAATAGATAAGCATCAACTTAATACACAAACGGAGTATAATTTGATTCAAATTATCAAAATTTTATCCAGGCACAAATGTTAATGTAATCATGACATATCAGTAACATTAGAGAATTACAATAATGGCAAAAACGGTGCCAAAATAGCTACCAGTTTCCACTTGGTGGAAGAAAAACTTTTAATTAGCGTTTAACGTCTTTATTTTCATATATGCATGACTTGACTTAAACCCACATATGTAGTATTATCAAAGCAGCAAAAATTCATCAGATATCATAGCACTGAATATCCAATTATTGGCTTGAGACATGAATCCATATGAATAAAAATAAACATGCAGCGGAATATGATTTAACACCACAGTTGTTTTGTACAAGTATTATATCCATGCCAAGATATAATTCCGAACGGTGAAAAGACATAAAGTAATTTTAAGATGTAATTATGATGTATAAAACATCACTGAACCAATAATTGTATACACATCTAACGGTCCATTCCAAAAAATATGCATATTTAACAATTAAATAAATAAAAGCTTCGGGAATCATCAAACAAAACTCCAGGTATGTCCATGAACACATATACATATGCCGATTAAGGAGAATAATTTCATGGATCTATTATGGTAGGCTCTGATAACAATTGATGGATAACAATTGATGGATATTCATATATGTGTATATATCAACAAAACTCCGTATGCAATATATATATAAATATATAATAGCTAAATCCATATAAATCCATGAAATCAAATATGTATGAACTATAATTAGAATTAGAATCGTACCTTGAGAATTCATTTGCATTAACACTTTAAGAAGACCCAGGAATTCAACGCGATTGATCGGCTTAACCTTCCAGTGCTATGTACCGTATGAGATGTTATTCTAGTCCTACCTATTGATGGGATATATATAGGACTAGAGTAACTTGTAACGGTTTGGCCTTATTAATTTATAATTATTCCTTCATCATTAATTACTACAATAATGATATTAAGTAGAATAATTTATTAGACCATTTTCCGTTACGATGTCGTTACAATTATCTCTTTATTTACATGCACCGGGGGTCATAACCGTTGTATCACTTTAGTGTAATATATTTAATTTGACCCGTCACCAAAAGAAATATATTATCCTGGTATCTACACTTTTATTATTTTATGAATAGTCACTGTATTTTATTTTAAACCCGGAAGGTAAACCACCAAAATCAGTGGGGCAAACGTCGGGGAACGTTTGCCAGATTTTATTAATAGATGTGAAAAAAATACAATAGAGAGGGGGACCAAACCAAAACCTCTCCTTAGAGGCATACCTCTAAAAGTACATGATTCAATACTAAAAGATAAGAATTTTTTTTTTTTTGGGGGGGGGGGGGGGGGGGCTTGACCTGACCCAAAAAATAAAATACACGAATTTAAAAACGCAAGGCTGGAATACAAAAGAGGTCTCCATAATAGCTATTTTTAACATCTTTTGGCAAATTACCTACCTGATCAAATAAAATAATTTGGGCCGAGCCCAGATTCTTACCTGCAAGCAGATGGGCCGGACCGTTCCCTTCTCGAAATACATGTCCGAACGAAAACCTTCTGAGTGTTGCCTTTCGCCTGAAATCAGCACAGTTGCCTGAATCATCCAAAATAAGGGAGATCGCCCTAGCCGCATCACTCTCCACCTGAACATCTGCGAAACCAGCTTCCATTATCATTTCTGCTGCGAAAATCAACGATTGCAACTCAGCCTCCTCACTGGACGCCGCTTGAAGTCTGAAGGACGTAGCCCATACCAGTTCTCCCATCCGATTCCGAAGAATAGCTCCTCCTGAAGCACAACCAGGTTTGAACGAAGCATCTAAGTTCAATTTGTAGTTTTGTTTAGGCCTTTTCCACTTGACAACCTGAATAATAGGGTAATTAAACTTAAACCTTAACGGAATAAAGTTTTCAGTGTACAAGAATTCTTCCACCCTTCTTCGTTTTATCTTTGTTAAAGTTGAAGCCCATTTCTGAGTATAGAACTTGATTTGTAGAATAATGTAATCTGGACTTGGTATAGAACCCGAACCCCAAGTGTATGAAGAAAACACCTTCCAAATGTGCCATGTAATAATGCCAGGCATAATGTGCTTAAAAATATCTGCCATTGATTTTGAACCAGCCTCAATCCACCATAGTATAAGAACGTGCCTAATTGAAGCTGTGTTAGGCATGAGGATATCAAAATTCCCCATAAAGTACTGCCAGATGAACTTGGTGTGTGAACAATTAAAGAAGATATGGTCAGTAGTTTCAAAATTCCTCCTACAAAGGGGGCACCTTGATGGGTTGACAGTCAAATGAAACCTCTTAAGATTGTCACCAATGGGTAGAAATGAGTTTAGAAGCTTCCAAAGAAAAACTTTGATCTGCATAGACTGATACTTATGCCATATATGTTTATCAGTAAATGTAACTGATTTTTTGTTTCTGATTTCCTTGTAAGCAGATGCCAGAGAGAAGTTACCATGAATACCAGGGTCCCATTGCCATGATCCAGAAGAATTCTCTGAACAAAGGTTAGTAGCTACTTCATGTATCTCACAAATTCTTCTCCAAACATTAGAATCAGAAGTTTTAGGCCTCATATCCTCTCCTCTAGGGTATCTTATTTTAATGAAAGAAACCCAAAGAGATTTCTGAATAGTCACTGTATTATTTATTTGATGGTAAACACATTTTAATTAATTACATATTAGACCCCTTTTATTGTTTTCCAACACCCCATTCCTAAAAAGATTGCCAAGTTTGACCGGCACGTAGAATAATAAAGTAAAAATTGTGTGGTAGAGATTTGTGCAGAGGAGAGAGAAACAACAAGAGCCACAAATTGATTGATTAAAAGGAAAAGTTGCAAAGTTTTTTGGGACAACCAAGAAAGGAAAGTTGACAAAGTTATAAGGAATGGAGGGAGTATGACATACGTTTATTGTTTGCAAAAAAAAAAAAAATATTGCTATTGCAAATAGTTATCTCAATCTTGTAAACATGCCCAACTTTATTCAAACATTTTCTTTTAAAATTCAAATATATTGCTATTTTTACCATCATGTCGCATTTTTTTATATAAATCCATAGAAGCAAAAGCTCATATCTTTCATTCATTAATGATCAAATGATGTTGCGAAAAACTCAAATAAGTCAAATAGAATGATAAATATACTCAATTCTGATCGTCCATTTTCAACGTGACAACTTGTGAAAGTGTGCGACATCTGAAGAGTGATGGTGCACGCACTCGCCTTCCGCCATCAAAAGTTGGATTGCTGCTTGTGAGTCTAACTGCACTCGAACATGACATTATCTAAATTCTCAAGCAAATTGTATCCCCTGCACAACGGCTCTCAATTCAACTTCCGTTATCGAGCAAAACCCCAAGTTCATCTAGCACGCTGCTATGCAGCGACCTTCAGAATCACGAAACAAGCCTCCTGTAGCCGCTCGTCCAGTCTAAAAAATAACCGACTCTTCAAAATTTAGAACAAGCCACGCTGGTGGTATTTTACAATTCCCCTCATCATTCTGGTGGTTAGATTTGTGTGAGTGGATTGATCACGTATCAAAGCCTCCTCAATTTAGTTGCATAGCTACACAAATTCATCGAGTTTTACCATTTAAATTATACTACGCAATTTTAATACATACTTCGAATTTTTTTAACACTTTTATATTTGAAAAAAATGAGGCTAGTGATCATACGACATACGTGTATTTTAGCCGATATAAATTGAGAATTATACGTGTGTTTGAGATGTTATTAAGAACTTATCAAATGTAATGTAAACACCTCATCTCGGATGTACCCTTCTAAATTAACGGTGGTTTTTTGTTACAAAATTCAAACCAATTTTTGTTTAAATGTTACTAGTTGATAATAAAATGTAATTAAAGCAAATATAATATAATATTTTTCAAAATAGACTGAAATTTTTTAACGAAAATTTACGTAGTAACAATTAAAAATCAATATACTACTACATCGCAATCTATTATTGTTTAATGTAAATGTTAAAATAGATATTATTTATATTATGATGGATTATGATCAATTGGTTGCGTGTGAGATAGAGGAGTTTACATTAAAATGTGTAAACCAAACATTCCATGAATTGGTTATTACTCCCTTCTCAGAAAATTCTTCCCACTTTGACTTGGTACATAGATTAAGAAAGTGGAATAAAGTGGAAATGTGTGGTTGTAGTTGTGTAAGAAAAAGATGAAATGAATGTGAAGTTGTGAACCACACAAATTGTCCGAAAATGGTAAATGATTTTTTTTTTTGAGAACGACCCAAAAATGGTATCCAAAAAAAAGTGTTCCAATGACATAAATTTGACATGTTCACAGTTCACACGTGGACTATGTGGTCAACAAAACTGCCATCTTCCATACCGGAAACGCAAGACTTCTTGCATTGTCTACCTCAGTTTCTTCTCCTGCCCAAATTGCACAAACTGCAGCAGTTTCATCTGGCCTTCTCCAGCCGGCCACAGTAGATTTTCGAAGAAAACAAGCAGTGCCACGTACTACTATTAGTTTCTGACGTCATCATCTTCTTTATCAAGCTCTGCGTGGCTCTACTTTTTCCCGGTCTCAAGCTTTGACAGGATCTTTCAGAATTTACTTTATCTATCTTTTTCCTCAAGCTCAGAGTCTCACAGATCTGAATTGGTAGTTTTCCTAAACTGTACTTCGTTCAATATCCTTGGTTATGTTTGCATCTTCCTTTCCTGTAGTTATGACTAATTAGAGTCATTTCCTTCTATGTAAATGTGGAGTTGACTTGCAGCGGGATTTGTGTTTGTTTGAGCCTTCTGAACTCAGATGGGACACTTTGATGGACTCCCCATCCCTCAAGACAAGTTGGTGAGTTTCCATTTTACTTCACTTGGTAGCTTTGTCTTGCATAGTTTCGGACTGTTTCTGGATTCGAAGTAACTAGCCCAAAGTATGGCCGATGTTCCTGCAATTGTGACCTGTTGCAATTTCATGTTTATTTCTGCATTGCATTGACTCATTGTTGGTGGTTGTTCGTTATGTAACATTGAATATGCCAGTTTTACCCATTTCTTTGGTACTAGTTTGCATTCTGATCACACTTCATGGTGAATGCAGTACTTAAGGGAAGAGTTGTCTAAGATAGATGAAAGTTGGACGGCTGCACGTTTTGATTCTCTACCACATGTTGTGCATATTTTAACCTCAAAAAACCGTGAAGGGGAGTTGCAGGTCTTAAGGGAGCAGAGTGAAATAGTTGAGGATGTTGTGGATGAAGTAGTGCACACATATCATCATGGCTTCAACAAAGCAATTCAAAACTATTCCCAGGTGTTTAATATTCTTCATTTCTATCTTATATACTTTTTTGCTGTACATCCCTTCGATTTGTGTTTTATAAATTCACGTTCCTGAGCATCTCCTTATAAGACATGTTCACCTTTGCTATATAATTCATGTATATTGACTGTGTATCACATTTCTTAATCCGTCCAGTGACTTAAACCACAAATATGTGCATGTTTTGGGCAAGTCGGTCTAATAGGGTGTGCAAAGAATACTATTGAAATGGCCCTGGTTGCCCTGCTAATGTTGGAAGCCTAAAATTTTGAAAATAGAGTCTATCTAGTACTCCATATATAAAAGGTTATTTTTAGACAAATTGAAAACTGTTTTAGTGATTTATTTAGAAAAACTATGGACAATATATGATAATCCTTGGAACATTATATATTTATATGTTAATTTTTATAATTAGCAAAAGCCCTAAAAGTTTAACGGGGTCTTGGTTTTGGGGTGGGGTGAGGATGGGGGTCATGATGCAATGCTTTTGATATGCATAACTCAAATTAATACATTAAGGTTCCTGATAACTGTGGTTCAGCTCGTGTAGCTATGATTATGAAAGAGGCTGATTGATTATGCATCTTAAAAGTTTCTTTTCTCATCATATATGCATTTCCTAATAATTTCATCACTTGTTCAAGAGTGTTTTATTTCTGCACTTCGGTAAAACACAGATGCTTTCACTTTTTCAGAATCTTTCTAGAAATTGGAAACCGGAAAGTACTTCCACTAAAAGCAAATAGACCAAGTACCAGCCTCAACTAAATGTATGTTTGTTTTGTTTTTGACATACTGCTAGTATTTTGTAATGGCTATTTTCTAAGTAGTATTTGATCTTTTTAATCATTTTGGTAACTTGTTAAGGTAATGAATGTTTGGTAGATGTTACATGAAACTCGCAAGAGAATGTATGTCAATGTTTATGTATATTTTGGCACCATTTTCATCCATGCAGATCTTGCGCTTATTTAGTGACTCTGCTCAAAGCATTGCAGCCGTAAAGGGTGATTTGTCTGATGCAAAGAAACTTCTGGGCACCCATAATAAGCAATTGCATCAGTTATGGTATCGATCAGTTACTCTGCGACATATCATTTCCCTCTTAGATCAAATCGAGGGAATATCTAAGGTCAACTGCTTTTGTTTTCTATTTATACTATACAGTTATTCATTACTACTTCTCTAGTGTGCTTTTTTAAATTGGTAAGTTGGTTGCAGATAGCATGTTTAAGTAAATTGGTTGCAGATAGCATGTTTAAGTAAATTGGTTGCATGCAGCATGTCACCACAAAATTATCTCATTTTGCAATCATGCTATGTAAATTGATTGCATATAGAATGTCTAAGTATAACATCATAGAAAGTTATCACCTTTTCAATTATCAGATACTGGTTTGCAATACTCAGATATGTAGTAGGGCTATGTGATCTATTAAAGAAAGCTCACTTTAAAAGAAATATAAAAGGTTGTCAATGAATAGGGCAATTTATATACCGAGTCTGATGTCAGTGCTTGGCACTTGATAGAGGCACAAACCTTTGTTTATACTTGTTAAAGATGACTTCTATCCTTTTCTTTTCTTTTGTTTATTTTCTATTGCATATACTCAACCTGTGCTATATCAAGAGGTTGGTTTAATGTAGAATAGGCATGTGAGTAATTTATGAAAGGAAAATTTAATGATGATGTTTGAAGGAAAGCATGACTGGATTGTGCATGTAGTTCAAGTATTTAAAACAATTGTGATGGATCGCCGACCCTGGGGAGTAGCCATAATCCGAGAAATATGAGAGACGGAAAAGTGTTAAGTGAGATCAGGTAGAAATTTGGGAAGAGTAACAGCAAGTTTGCACATAGAATTTCGGATCCCTTTTCACAAGCCGGAAGGTGATATTTATACTAGGAGAAAAATACTTGACCAACAAGTAAAAAGATGCTATTCTATTGTGGTGAAGACACGTGGCGAACCTGCCTAACAGAATAAATGTACCAGTCTAATGAAGTGGTGACACGTGTAAAGATGATTAGAGAGATAACTGGGACAACTGGCTAATTGGTACTGTGCATAACAGAATTGCACCAAAACACACGCTTGCGCCAAACGTGTGCCATCCAGAACATTCTTGACTCTAGCTGCCTGGAATGACGTGGCATCCGCACAATGTTGGTGACGTGGCAGTAAATTGTGTGATACTCCCTCCGTCCCATATAGAGGTTCCCGATTCGGTTTACGATGCTTGACTGACGATAAAACAACTTGATCCCTATTCACATTCCGATTATTTATAGTAAACAAAATTTACATATCCAGAAAATACATTAAAGTCGCTACAAAGCCTGATAAAAAAATGTAAATTTCATAAAAAGTTGATATACAGAGCAAAAGGTTAAGAATGATTGAAGTTGACCATGTGAATAGTGGATGAGAACCTTTAAATGGGACGGAGGGAGTATTTGATTGTTGGAATGTCTAAGTCCATATTTGATTAGTGAGACCCCGAGCTCCGTGAGGTCAGAACTCGAGCATCGCGGGCTCATTCTAGAGGATTTGATCCTGGTCTTCATTTTGTCCGGTGGCGGTCATTTCTTCTTATCCATTGACTCCTGCTAACTTGAGTCAGTGTCCGAGGTCAGGTCTAGTACCGACCTCGGTGTGCTCGAGGTCGGCCTCATATTTGGCCTTATCTTGGTGATCCGGGAGCCTGATGTTGCGCCGACCTCGGGGCTCAAGGTCGGCCTCGGCCGCGGTTCCGTACTTTGTCGATTTGCGGACTTGTGTTGTGACCCGACCTCGTGCTGAGGTCGGCCTTGGCTGAAACTTCGTACTAAATGTTGATACAACTGAAGTCCTTGTCTGTTGATTATGATACCCCTTGAGTATATGGGAATATACTCCATCAAATTGTTTGTCAAATAATTCTTGTTCTTTACATTTGTGATTATTTATAAATAATAACCGAACTTGTATTTCTCAAATAATTCTTGAACTTCATATTTAAGTAGAAAGTTTTCTGAAAGCTGGTATTTGGTTTTCCCCATATAGGGATACAAAAAGAGGACAAATCTAATTGTACAATGACTTTTCGTGTTATTGCTTGATGTTTTAAAATATTAACTAAGGTTGTATATATCATCTGGGAAACACCGCAAGCTAATCTTCAGGCTTCTATTTTTGAATAACAAGGTGTCCGTTTCTCATTCAAGACATCAGCATGACTTGAACCCACAAGTTTTTCCAGTAGTTGGCTTTGAATAAAATCGGTCCACTTTTGAAAGAGAACCCTGGACCTTAGGACTCGTTAACATTCTCTTTATGATACTGGCAAGTTTATGGGGTCAATTGATTCAACTAGATTACATTTACATCTGCCTTGTTGAGTCATATCTTATCTCTTTGCAATGCAGGTTCCAGCTCAGATTGGGAAGCTTGTTGCTGAAAAGAAGTTTTATGCTGCAGTGCAATTGCATGTCCAATCAGCTCTGATGCTTGAAAGAGAGGGCCTTCAGACAGTTAGTCCTCTTGAGCCTTGTCAATCTTATTCATTCATTAATTATTTCAGGTTTTAATGGCTTCATTCAGTTCATTGTAATGTATCTTCTTGAAAGCATCTTATTGTAACTCATTCTGCCATCAATTTTATATCATGACATGCACATTTTGTTATTTTCAAAAGATCAATATATTCCTATTGCTCCCATTTTGAGATTATTAGTTTGCTAAGCATTTCATTTGTCTGAGGCTATGCAGATTCATATATTTATTATTTCTTCTAGCATAAAAGTCTTATTTTTCATTCTCATTTCATGAAAAGTAAGCTTTAGGTTTTTGACATGTACCTTCATATCTTCTTTCTCATAATTGCTTCATGGAACCATGGCCCACTTTAAGAGGTTGGTACAGTGGGTTCATAATAGGATTAATAGCTGTCTTCCCCAGGTTGGTGCTCTACAGGATGTCAGATCCGAATTGACTAAGCTGCGAGGAAATCTATTCTACAAAGTGTTGGAGGATCTGCATTCACATCTCTATAATAAGGGTGAATACAGGTATATAGTTCTATTGGTTGGATGAGTTAGACACTTGCAATGTGCATCTCCCCAAAATATAATATTGTGAACCACTAAACATGATTGACTCCATCAGAAAGAAATCAGATGAACTTTTAGGTTTTACTATTTTTCCATTCTTTCGCTTCATGTTTCCTCAGCTCTGTAAATTATTTTGTCTACAATATCAGCTAAGCTTATGTAATCTTGCTCATTTGCTTATTTATCTATTCATGCTATTTGTTTATATAGTGGTACATTAACTGAATATTTATTGTTCTAATGCAGTCCAGCTCTATTAAGTGTTAGTGAAAAGGATGATGAAGTGTTAACTAGAAGATTTATTACAATGTCTCTTAACAACTTACAGCCTCTATCCCGAAGAACTAGATTATTAAAAGGCGACAATCAGTTTGGTTCGTTTGGTGTTTGTGATGGATCTAAGATACCTAGTTCTGTTGATGGGGGGTAAGACGAAGCTCATATCTAATGACGCAATCTTCTGCTAAGTTGCTAACATTATCTTCAAGTCATGTTTTATAGTACATTGTGTTTTGCTTTGACTCTTTTTTCTTCAGTAATTTACTCTGAGCAATATTTGACTCTGCCTTTCACTGTGTTTCCATCAGTACACACTACTGATTTTCTAATGATAGCTTCATATATTATGAAAAAGATAGGGAAAAGGGTGAAATGAAGCCTTCTATTATTCCCAATCCATCACTTTAGCCCCCATATCAAAAAAGTATTGTATAAGTACGCTTACTTTAAAAACTTGATCAATCTGGCCATTTAATCCATTTTGACCTGTAATAGCAGTTTTTTTTATACTTCCTCCGTTCTTAAATAAATGCAACTGTCAACATTTCACACTTGCCGAGACACAACTTTGACCATTAATATAAATGATTTTGTATTAGTAAAATAATTAAAAAAATTAGATTATGAAAATTTACAATGAGACAAGTTTAACAATATTTTTTTATAAAATAATATTATTACATGAATAAATAAAACGTAGTCAAAGTAGAACATTTGAATAGTGTAAAAGTCAAAGTGTTGCATTTATTTAAGAACGGAGGTAGTATTAAATAACTCTTAAATTTTTTTAAAATTCAAAGATATATAAATAAAAATTGTGAACAATTTAAGAATGTCAAAGTCAATACTTTTGCATTTTAGGAATTATTTGTATATTCTAAATCTGTTTAAATGGTTTTTACATATTTAATTTTATATTTAACATTTTCACTTGTTTTTTAATTTTTCCATTTTCACTTATTTTTATTTCAACGTTTTTAAATTATTGATCTATTTTTGCATTTATACTATTTTTATATTATTATTACATTAGTTTTCAAATTTATATGAATTTTTATAAGATTTATCACTTGTCTTAGGGGGTGTTTGGAACTGATTCTGCTTCTACTTCTTTTTTAAAGAAGAAGCAGAATCAGAATCATTTTTCAGAAGCTGGTCACCCCAGCTTCTAAAAAAACTGATTCTAGGAGTAAATTAGAGCACCAGAATCACTTCTGCACTTTCACCCAAACACTGCAACTTCTGCTTCTGCTCCCTCAAGGAGCAGAATCAGTTTTAAGAATCGGATCGAAACACCCCCTTAATTTTTTTCAAAATGGCTTCATTGATTGTATTTTTAAAGTGAGTGTACTTATATAATACTTTTTTAGTATGACTTATGTGATGGATTTGAATTGTAGAAGAGTCTATTTTTTATTAAAGATATTATGTGGGCTGAATGGTTTATATTCTTGGACCGGCTAATGTGCATAAACAATGAGTTTTTTGTTAAATAGAGTTGGATACAATATGTGGTAGTGTTATTGACACTTGTGCATTTTCACATTCCCCTTCCGACAATTCAGTTCATTATTTAATGTCCATGATGCGCGTGGTACTCTAGAGCATGGTGATGCTACATCAGAAGATGCCAATTCAATAAGAGCCAATGGTGGTGATATTGCTATAAAGAATGCCAAAATTATATCCCAACATATTCCCATGTGGCTATCTGATTCTACTCCGGATGAATTTATCGTATGTTTATGCTTGTACAATTTAATTGCAATTGTCATCTTTCAATTCATATTTGTTTGTTTCATGAGGCTCAATGTATTACCTTTTGTGTTAAATGTAGGAAGCAATGAAGAAGAGTGAAGCTCCTTTGCATGTGAAGTATCTGCAGACCATGGTTGAGTGCCTTCGTATGCTCGGAAAAATTGCTGCAGCTGGTGCTATGATATGGTGAGTTGCAGTTTTGTGCTTTGCATATTTATCCTTAAAGTTCCTCTATTTCATTAAGACCTTGCAGGAATTTGCAGTATAGAATAGGTTGAAACAGAAGGTAAATTGGATATTGCTATGAGTACAACTTAACTTTTTGCCCTCTATCACAATTTATACATAAGATACCTTGTTTGTAGTTGAAACTTAAATGTTGTAGCAGGTAGCTGAGAAAGCTTGCATTCATGCACCCATTGTCTACATTGTTTATAATTTTATTAATGGAGCAGAGAATATTTTACTCAACAAAAATTTGCAACCATGTTTTATTGTCATGATGGGAATGGTTCATATAGTTTTGTGGTTGAATTAGCATCAACTATCATGCTTGGTGTATACTCTCTATCTGCATCTGAAACTTTGACTCCATTTTATATTCTATGTATCCCCAACAGCCAGAGGTTGAGGCCTACCATTCAAGAGATAATTACTACCCAGATAAAATCTCACGCAGAGAACATTAATAGTTCAAGGCATGACATCGGTCCAACTGCACATACTGGTATTACAGGCCTATACTATCTGAATGGAAAGTTTGAGAGTTATCAGCCGCCAAAACAAAAGGCCCAAAATAGGTTATCTTTGGCTGGAGTGGTTCTTGCCGTCAGTCCTGTTTCATCAGTAATGGCTCCTACAGGAGCAGCACAGGTTGCTGCAAAGGAGCTTCTTGATTCAATTTTAGATGCTGTTGGTCATATATTTGGTCAGTGATACATGATCTTCAGAATTTCTTTGTCATTTTTTGTAACGATTTGTGCCAAAAAAGTTATGTGCTACTGTGTTTTTGCTTTAATTTCTTCACCCGCTTTTGTGCAAAATCTCAGAGAACCATGTTATTGTTGGGGAGCTTTTTGAGTCAAAATCCTCTCCACAGTTTGACTTGAACACATCAAAGTCTATGCCAACAAATTCTAACTGGAACCTAGACACAGACATAGCTAATGGTACTGGAGGCTATAATCTTGGCTTTTCATTAACTGTCTTACAGGTTGCATTCTTCTGCTTTGCTTTTTTACTTTCTCATTTCATTCAATACATATGCTAAATTCTTGAATATAATCCATTTTAATCTTAACATCATTCTATAACTTTGTAAATAGAGTGAATGCCAGCAACTGATATGTGAGATCTTACGAGCGACACCAGAAGCTGCTTCAGCAGATGCTGCTGTCCAAACTGCTAGACTTGCAAGCAAAACAAATTCAAAGGATAAGAGGCACGTAAATGAATGGTCAACTGCTATTCCTGTAATCTTCAAGTGTATTTTTCCTTTTCCATTTTTTATTTATTCCACGGTTAAAACTTTATGTTTCTGAACTAGTTGCAAATTGTTGTGTGATAACTGGTCTATTAATTTATTTATGTATTTGATTGTTTTGTTTATTTGTTCATTATTTGTTTAATAATTGATTGATTGAGCACGGGAGTGGTTAGAGGGAGTGGTTTGAAGTATAAGAGAAGTTTTACTAGTCCTCAACTGCATTCCTGATTGCTTGCATTTGTAAAACATTGATGCTTTAACTAGATACATCAACTGTGTCACATAATTATCGTAGATTGGAATTGTAACCATTGGGTTTTTACGAGCATCCATTTGGTAAAAGCCAGTGCTGATATGTTTTAGTGTCTGACTTGCTGCTATTTGCTGTTTTCTGTGGACAATTCAGTTTCCACTTTTCACTTTGCACTAGTGATGTACCACATGGCCTGTTCATTCCCAAGGAATCGGGGACTTCTCAAATCTCTGTAAAATAATTCAAAATGAGAATTTGAGAGAGAGGAGTAGCTATAATGTTACCTGTGGGAACTTGAAAAGATATACTCTCTCCGTCCCTAATTTAACACCACTTTGACTTGGCACGATGTTTTAGAAAATGCAATCGTATGATTTATTGTTTGTTTAGAAGAGACATAAGATGAACCATATAATGTATCCTTAGAGGAAAGTGTGAAGATCACGTATGGATAGTGGGTGTACAATTTTTTTCTTGTATTTTTCAACTGCTCTTCCCATCCAAACAAATTCTGGGAGGAACCAGAGCTAAAAGGATATATTTCTCTTGTACTTTCAAAGTGTACGGACTACGGATGCATTCTTTCTCGGGAAAAGGGTCAAATAAGGCCTTGAACTATTACCGAATCGTCACATATGGTCATGTACTCGATTAAGTGTCATATAAATACGTCTACTTATAAAAAGCAATCGGGTGAGTCAAAATGACCCATTGACAACCTCCTAATCCCGATTTTAGCTTATATGTCGTTATTTTTGCCTTGTATTTAAACCAATTCTGACCAAATATTTCTCGTCAGCCTTATAATCAATTTAAAAAAGATAGACAGACGTACGCTAAAATCTGGATTATGAGGTTGTTAACAGGTCGTTAGGACTCATCCGATTGCTTTTTATAAGTAGACATATTTATATGACACTTTATTGAGTACATGGCTTTATGTGACGGTTTCATAATAGTAGAAGGTCTCATTTGACCCTTTTCTCTTCTTTCTCCTGTATTTGGTACTCCCAACAACAGATTTATTATTCATTGACAATTTGACATCTTCATTTCTTATTGATTACAGAGATGTATCAGAAGATGGTCTTACTTTTGCTTTTCGCTTCACAGATGCTACTGCATCCATTCCTAATCAGGGTAAGTAAGCGACTAAGCGTGTCTGCATGTGGTTGTCTTCTATATATCTGTTTTTACCTTGATACATGTCTTGTTGGTTTATTTCCTGTCTACCAGCAGTCAAAGAATATACTCCGGTGAAATTTTTAAATAGAATTTGAAATGGCTACATGAGACATTGAAGAAAATAAATGACTGTAAATATGTAAAAGAGTTTTAATAACACCATGATATGTCTCATTAAGGAATATTTCGGATTTCCTTTTATGATAAGCTTGCCTCTTTTTCAATCCCTACGATATTGATATGGAGTATTATTGTTCTTTGACTATTGATTCTTAGGAGTGGACCTCATCCGACAAGGGTGGAACAACAGGAGGGTAGCAAATGTTCTCAATGAAGGTTATGGTACTACCTCAATTTTACCTGAGCAGGGAATATATTTAGCAGCATCTGTATATCGGCCTGTTCTACAGGTAATGAATATCATAGCCTTACAATTCAGGACAAGGGAGTTCCATAACCAAATTTTCTTGATTTTTTGGCAGTTTACAGATAAAATTGCCTCAATGCTGCCCCAAAAGTACTCTCAACTTGGGTAAGCTGGGTCTCATGCGTGCTTCCTTTTGTGCGTGCAGGCTGTTCCTTGGATATATATCCCCTACCCTTCTACTCATTTTGCTTAATTAGGACTTAAGTATTGGAAGCAAATGCCAGGGGAAGATTTTTCCTTGCAAATAGATAGTTAGATATTCTTTATCATAACTTTGTCATTGTCATAAGTATTTCTTTTAATAGACCCGAAGGAGACATAAATATAATGATACATAATAACAGTACAATATTATAATTTGGTTTGATCCTCCTACCCATTGTACTTTCTTTTTCTCAAATAAACAGGTAGGGTGTTCCCTGGCCCCTACCCCAAATGCCTTTATGGTTTTTGGTTTAACACCGGGTTAAAAAAATAATAGGAAAGCTTGGTAAGGATTATTGAAAGCCATTAAAAGCAAATTACAGAGTAACAATTACATTTATGACAATATTGCAGTTCCATAGATCAAAGGTGAAAGACAGAAATAGATTAGGACATAGAAGCGCAGCATGGGAGGGATGTTTGGTGGGCGATGGTTAAAATGGACAAGCTTTTGAGGAATTAGGCTCTCTGTTAAGTAGAACCTGCCAAGCACTCCAGCCAATAAATTGATGCAGTTTTATAATCTTTCAAACTCATGAATCTAGGATTCTAGTAATTAAGTTCAACTCCACTCGATCTATTTGTTTAACTCTTTGAACAATTGTACCTTCATCATTTTCTGCCAGTGGTTCCCCAGAAACTCGTACTTATTATGTCTTGACAAATTGCATGGTTTGGAGCAGTTTATGTTGCATTTAAAGCATTTTATGCGGTATTATATATATAAGTATTTTATAGCATTAGTTGTTCCAGTTTAGTTCTCTGAACTCCAAAATTAACATTGATACAATGTTGGCATGCTTCATTTTTCCCATGCCTATGCTTCATTGTTAACACCTTTATGCCTCATTGATTCTAATATAAGTCTGCTGATTGTTTCAATGCAATTGGCATTTGCAGGAATGATGGGTTGCTGGCATTCGTAGAAAACTTTGTTAAGGATCACTTTTTGCCAGCAATGTTTGTAGATTACAGGAAAGCTGTACAGCAGGCCATAGCAAGCAAGTCTCTATGACTCACTCTCCATTTATCTTTGAAGAATTAAAAGAAAGATATAGTACTCCAACTACCAGTATAATTTATGCATCAACTTTATGTGAAACTTACTGCTAGGATGATAGCAGGTTGGGTAACCTATCCATTTAGCATTTTCTGTACAAACCTGGTTAATCTTAAATATCTAAATCAGATCCTCACTAAGAAGCACATGGAGGCATGGAGCTGGTGAAGGTGACGTTTCACAGTTCTGGAAATTCAGAACCGTATTAAAATCCTGGAAACTTCAAATTTCTATTTTCGTATTAAATGTTGGGAGACCAGTTCGCCTATTTTATTAACAGGAAAAGAAATTTAGATTGATATAAAATGATATAAATTACAAATAGGTGGGAGATTTCTCACACCCTACTGAAATGAAATGCCGAAGTACCAATAAATAGCCCTACAAGGGAGCTGGAACGAAAACCCTTAGCAAGGGTGCAACTCCAAGTCCCTGCCAAACCTCTCAACTCCTAGTTCCAGTTCACCTAATTAATAGCATTTCCAAAACCTCACGTCTTTGTTCCCCTTTTTTTATTGTGATTTCTTGATGGAAATTAGTATTTTTTAAAACAGGATTTCTTGGTTTTTTTATGAAACTAGGTTTAAATCAGATTAGAACGACTAGACAAAACTGAAGTAATTCAGATCATACCAGACTAGAAAATTGCAATCCTAATGAATAGGTCCGAAGAATGCAATGTTAAAATGACTTTTATTGCTAGTATAATCATCCAATGTCATGCAATCATCTATTACTATGGAAAATCTGCCACATATATATTGTTAACTTAACATGATGTCGCAAGTGTCACAAGAGTGATTGCTACAAGTCTGATAATCTATAACATTGATTTACAGGCCCAGCTGCATTTCGACCACGAGCACCAGCAGCTGCTTCTTACACTTCTTCAATTGAGAAAGGGCGGCCTGTTTTGCAAGGACTTTTAGCAATTGACTTTTTAGCAAAAGAGGTATTTTTTAATTATTTATATGGATTTTTAAGATGTTATATGGTTTAGCTTGTTTTGCTTATAATCTTGGGAAGTGAAAACTGGCCAAAGTGAATCTTCCATTTCATGTTCACATTGGAAACCTAAGAAAAAATCTAATATAAATATAAATCAAAACTGTCTGATTTTTAATGTGTTCTTGAACTGTGTCTAATTCAATCTTATATAAATCAAATCTTATATAACAATCTTATTTTTATTCTTTCTGGTTATAAGCTTAAGTGAACCCTTTCAAATTCTTGAACTGAAGTTTAGCCATTTATGCAGGTTCTTGGCTGGGCTCAAGCAATGCCTAAATTTGCAGCTGATCTTGTGAACTATGTACAAACCTTTCTTGAGAGGACATATGAAAGATGCCGAACTTCATACATGGAGGCAAGAATACTTCATGATATCCCATTTACTTCATTTTTATCTTCGATTATTTCTGTCTATTAATTATAGAGTATTATACATCCATCTTGTCAAATGATAGAGGTTTTATTGATATTCTGTATCTCACAAAATAGGAGCTATATTTATATAGGGAAAAGGTACAAATATACCCCTCTAGTATGACTGAGAACAAATATACCCCTGTTCTATTTTTCGGAACAAATATACCCGTGAAGTATATGCAGAAGTGCATATATACCCTTGGAATTTTAAAAGGTGCAAAAATACCCCTCATATTCTTATAAAAGAGCAAATTTACCCTTATTGACTTTAAATTGATAAAACCAATTTCAAAAAATACCAAAAATAAATTATCAATTCGAAATTAAGAAATTAAAAATTTTAAAAATGTACTTGTGTCCAATTCTCCCTTTTATTGTTTGCATATCACAGTTTAATATTGTTAATATAAAATATTATTTCAAAACTTTACTGTATAAATGTATAAAAAATACTATTTGTAAAACATTTTAATATATAAACTTTACAATTTAATATTGTAAAACATTACTTTACTATTGCAATGTAAAAAAAATAATTAAATTTTTTGCATTCTTTGCACTATAAAAATTACATATTTTGTATGATGATAAATAGTCCAAGATTACAAAATAGTGAATTTAATTTTATTAAGGTTAAACAAAATCAAAGAATGTAACAATGTGTTCAAAACTTCGCAACAAGACTAAAATTAAAATTAATGAATTTGAAGTGTCTTCATTTACAACGGATAAGTATTAATTTTGAAATTGAAAATTAAACAGTCAATATTTTAACATAATAATAAATCTTTTTTTTTTAAATTTCGAATTTATAATTTAATTTTTTGTGTTTTTTGAAATTTATTTTATCTATTTAAAGTCAATAAGGGTAAATTTGCTCCTTTATAAGAACATGATGGATATACTTGAATTTACTGATTTGAATGAAATTGCTTAAGAGAAACTACTCTCAGCAAGTCTTTATTTATAAGGCAAATAATTACAAGGAAAGAATCATATGCACATCAATCAGTAATTAATTCCTGATTTGATACAATCTGTACAGTAAATACTAAAATCAGGAAGGAAATCATATCAAATCTCAACACTCCCCCTCAAGCTGGTGCGTAGATATCATATGCATCAAGCTTGTCACAAATATATCTTATCCTCGGACCTCGAAGTGACTTAGTGAGAAAATCAGCTAACTGATCATTTGATTTGACAAAGGATGTGAAGATTTCTCCAGAAATGACTTTTTCACGAATAAAATGGCAATCGATTTCTATATGTTTTGTTCGTTCATGAAAAACAGGGTTAGAAGCGATGTATAAAGCTGCCTGATTATCACAGATCAGTTTCATAGGTTTCAGTTTGCAAAACTTTAACTCGGACAATAACTGTTTCAGCCATATAAGTTCGCAAGTAGTGAGAGCCATGGCTCGATACTCTGCTTCGGCACTTGATCTAGCGACAACACTCTGTTTCTTGCTCTTCCAAGAGATTAGGTTTCCACCAATGAGAACACAGTACCCTGAAGTTGATCTCCTGTCATTTGGACAGCCGGCCCAATCCGCATCTGAATATGCAGTAATATTGTCACAACCCCGGTTCGCATAAACCAGTCCTCTTCCAGGTGAACCTTTGATGTATCTTAGGATTCGAACAACTGCATCCCAATGACTATCACATGGCGTATTGAGGAACTGACTCACCACGCTCACGGCAAAGGAGATGTCTGGTCTGGTCATAGTGAGATAATTTAACTTCCCCACAAGTCGTCAATATCTTTCAGGATTAGAGATAGGCTCTCCCTGATCTGGAAAAAGTCGAACATTTGGATCAATTGGAGTATCGATCGGCTTACAATCTGTCATCCCGGTTTCCTTCAAAATATCAAGAGCATATTTTCTTTGAGATATGGCAATGCCTGTTTTGGATTGAGCTACCTCAATTCCAAGAAAGTAACGAAGTCGTCCCAAATCTTTCGTTTGAAATTGCTGGGACAAGTATAGTTTAAGATTCTGTATGCCATCATGATCATCCCCTGTTATTACAATATCATCAACCATAAACAACAAGGTAAGTAGATTGATTAGATAAAGATCTTTTATAAAACACGGTGTGGTCTGCTTTGCATTGAATCATCCCAAACTGTTTGAGAGCCGTACTGAATCTGCCAAACCACGCTCGTGGGGACTGTTTAAGACCATACAAGGCCTTATGCAACCGACACACATATCTACACTCCCCCTGAGCAACAAACCCAGGTGGTTGCTCCATGTAAACTTCTTCTTTTAAATTACCATGAAGAAATGCATTTTTTATGTCCAACTGATGTAAGGGCCAACTGCGCATAGCTGCCATAGATAAGAACAAACGTACAGAAGCCATCTTTGCAACCGGAGAAAAAGTGTCACCATAATCCAAGCCAAACACTTGAGTAAACCCCTTAGCAACCAAACGTGCTTTCAGCCGGTCAACTTGTCCATCAGGACCAACTTTGATTGTAAACACCCATCGGCAACCAACAATAGATTTACCATGGGGCAGGGGAACAAGAGACCAAGTACGATTGATTTCAAGCGCAGCCATCTCATCAAGCATAGCTCGGCGCCATCCTGGGTGGGCAAGAGCTTCCTGGACAGTTTTAGGAATGGAAACAGAAGAGATGGAAGACACAAAAGCATAATGGGAAGGAGATAGACGATGATAACTTAGACAATTATAAATAGGATGCGGGTTCCGAGTGGAACGTATACCTTTTCCGGTTGCAATTGGAAGATCAGGTTGAGCAGGTGCCTCATGTTGGTCCGGAGTAGGTAAAGGAGCTGGAGCTGGAGGTGAATCAGCAGGGTCACTATTAGGGACATCCTCATTAGGTGCAGACCGCGGTCGACGCTGATAAGTAATGAGTAGTTTGGCAGAGGACAATGGAGGACTGAGAGGTGACAATGGAGTAAGATGAGGAATGGGTAAGGCCTGAGAGACAGATTCAACTTCCACTTGTGAAGTGAAATACGGTTGATCCTCAAAGAAACTGACATCTGCAGAAGTATAGAAACGATGAGTAGAAGGTGAATAACAACGGTACCCTTTTTGGACTCTAGAGTAGCCAAGTAAGATGAGGGGGAGTGTTGAGCTGCCTTAAGTTGTAGATACTCTTTATATTCATCATCTGATAGAACATTCTGGGCACTTTTAGTTGCTGCCCCAGGTTTCACCGGTTCGGAGTGCATTACATTAACAAACTTGTCAGGCCAACCAATAATTTCATAACATTTATCTTTGGTATGACCCATGCGCTGACAATGACTACACTTAGGTCGACCACCAGTGCCACGTCCTCCTCTATCACGACCACGACCACAACCGCCATAGCTAGAACGAGAGACAAGAGCAGAGAACTCTGAATCAACGTGAGGACCAACACTTTCAATTCCACTTGGTGCAGGAACTCTCAACAGTCGACCGATAAGGTCTTCAGCAATGGGAATGTTTGGATTCGTTAGGATCTGGTTCCGCACGGAATCAAAATCCCTATGAAGTCCATGGAGAACAAACACCATACACATTTTATCAATTTTATCAAACACTTTAGGGAGATCAGTTTCGCTCAACATCACCTTAACCTCTTCAACAATGGATTGTGCCTTATTCACATATGATGGAAGGTCATGGTCGGACATTTGGAGTGTTGCAAGGCTATGAACAACGTCATAAATCCGTTGGACATCATTCGCAAACACACTTCGAGCTTTCTTCCATATGTCATAACACGTCTTGTATGTGCGGAAGTGGATCAACAGTTTGGGATCAATGGACTGCCACAAAATAGCAACCAATTGATGGTCGGCTTGAGTCCATTTTTCCCTTTCAGATGCAGTTATCTCATCGGCTCTTTTGGTCAAATGTTCGGACAAACCTTGGCCTAAGAACCACATTTCAACAGAAACTTGCCAATCCATGTAGTTTCTGCCGTTAAGTTTTTCAGAAGTTATTTGGGGATTCCCAGAAAAGACAAAGGACACAAGACTCCTGGAAGAGTCAGGAGTCGTGCTGCTTGTAGGAGACATGACGTATACTGACTTGGGAACAATCTGGAATGACTAGGACTTCTATTCCTAGTGCCGGCAGACCAGTCTCGATGAAGGTTGGCTGCAGGGACAACTAGGGAAAGTGAGGATCAGGCTCTGATACCAACTTGAATTTACTGATTTGAATGAAATTGCTTAAGAGAAACTACTCTCAGCAAGTCTTTATTTATAAGGCAAATAATTACAAGGAAAGAATCATATGCACATCAATCAGTAATTAATTCCTGATTTGATACAATCTGTACAGTAAATACTAAAATCAGGAAGGAAATCATATCAAATCTCAACAGATATGTTTGCACTTTTTAAAAGTTCAGGGGTATATATGCACTTCAACATATACTTCAAGGGTATTTTTGTTCCGAAAAATAGAACAAGGGTATATTTGTTGCCACACCTATATTACAGGGGTATATTTAATGTATAAACTCTCTGTATACTTCATTTCTATGATATAAATACATTACATTCATCATTCTTTCTCTCTTATTCTATTATGGTATCAGAGCTTTGCTCGGTCCAACCATGGTGAGTTCCTCATCCATTTCATCTTCAGCTACTGGAAACTCTACTCTTCCAGTAATCTTCAATCATCCTCTTCCGATCAAACTTGACTCCAATATTTTTTTTATTTTGGAAGCATGATGTCGAATTTGTTATGCGAGCGCACAAACTCCTGAAATTTGTTGAAAAACCTAAAATTCCTGAACAATTCATCACTGGCGATGATGGTGAGACTGGAACAGTGAACGAAGAATATACTATCTGGGAGAAACAAGATCAGATGTTATTTTTCTGGCTTCTCGCATCGCTCACTGAATCGCTTCATGCTCGTGTAATTCAGTGTCGTCACTCATATCAA